TGCGAATGTGTCCCATGCGTCTTTCGGTGTCTTCGCATCTCTAATGTGCTCTAGCATCTCTTCCTCGATGGTGGTCTTGATAGCGAACATGGCCTTGCCAGCTTTAACCTTCCATTTCTTCAGAGCTGCAGAGTCCTCCGGTGGTGTAACCTCACTACCGCTCACAATTTCCCACAAATCTTGGCCTTGCAAATATGACTCCATGTACGTCGACCACGTGCTGTAATTTTGATTGTTAAGCTTTTTGATACCTCCAACCACTTGAAGGTCTCCCATCGTGGCTCCACCCGATCAACTTGCCACACACTCTGCAGTACTAAACTGCACACGACCTTTGCAGTACGAAACTGCAAAACTATGATCAAGAAGCTGGACACAACAACTCGTACCTCAACCAACGCCAGACTCCGCTCGCCTGGCTCTGATACCACTTGTTGGGTTGGGTACACTCGCAACACGTGGACACTATTGTAATTACTTTATTAGATTAAAAAGTAATTACAAAACACAATATGGACCAGGCTACAATACTTCACTTATCAAGACCAAAGCACCCTATTTATGACACTCACTCACTCTTTTACTTAGACTCTTGGATGCTTGGATGATGCTTGGATTATTGGGATTCTGCTTGCAAATGAGGTGGTCTTGCCTATTTATAGACAACCCTCCCTCTAATGAGCTATCTAGAACTAGCTACACTTATTAGGTTTCCCTAACACTCTTGCCTCTTCTAGGCTATTCTAAAACTTACTAATATTACGTACAATGTTCTAGACTTATCTATATAAGTCTAGTTCCTACAATATTCTACAACATTCTAGTAATCTCTATTACCTTCTAGAATCTTCTACATCCTTCAACTAGCTTCCTCAAGCTTCTAGATCCTTCTACAATGTTCCGGAACCTTCCACATTTTCCGGGTCGTTCTAGATGTTTCTGGAACCTTCCACAATGTTCTACGACGTTTCACATTTTTCCGGATTGTTCTAGATGCTTCCGGGTCCTTCCCAAAAGAAGGTGTTGATATTTTAACATATATGAGTTCAAAGCTTTCGGAAAAAATGGTATAAAATGAGTATCTCATGTCTTATAATTAATTAATTGAACCGTGCGTGCAATAATAGGTGGACAATTGAGCACCGGTGTAAACAAGGAAGGCGTCAAGTTCTACAATGACATGATTGACTTATTAATTGAAGCAAGTTAATTAACAACACTCTGCTTTTTAACATATTTTTACCACAATGTTGCTGTTAAATATGTCAAGTCGTTAGGCAAGTCGATCAATTCATCTTCTCATTTGAACGTCCGAAATGTCTATTCATGCGACAAAATGATTTTTTTTTTTTCACTATTAAGTTTACACTATATCTTAAATTGAAATCAGAATGTAGTTTTCATTATACATTTAATTACATTTCTATTCCAATATTCTCACAGGAATTGAGCCAATTGCTACTATCTTTCACTTCGATACTCCGCGAAGCTTGCAAGACGAGTACAAAGGCTTCTTGGACCGCAGGATAGTGTAAGTCATTTCTCATTAATTAATCACAGACCAGAAATTGATTCTGTCTTTATCATTTGCCTTTAGATACACATGTAGATTAGTTTAAGATAGCTAATCCACGGTCAACTACAGAAACGTGCGCGGTATCGACCCAAGTCTCTATGGTGGAAATGCCGCAACCGAGCCATACATTGTGGCCCACCATTTGATCCTTTGTCACGCTAAGGCCATCGATAAATATCGCAAAAAGTTTCAGGTAATTAGTTAATTAATTAATTAATTAATTACTCGGTAGGTAAGTAGAATTTTTTACATGATACAATGTGGGATGAATGCGCAGGCTGTCCAAGGAGGCAAGATAGGCATTGTAGTTGTACGGTTGTACCTACCAGTTGGTACTTTCCATTACTCTGAGAAAAAGGAAGATAAAGAAGCTGCTGTAAGAGCTGTTGAATTTATGCTGGGATGGTAAAAATCTATAATAACTGTTTATTAATTCATTTGACCTTCATCATTCACAATAAGTACTNTTTAACTTTATATATTTTTTTTTTTGAATTATATTATTCAGGTTTGTCCAGCCATTAGTGAGCGGCGAGTATCCGGACAGCATTGCAAACGCGCGTGAAAGAGCGGCTGCCCAAGTTTACGGAAAAGGAGAGGAAGAAAGTAACTGGGTCATATGATTATATTGGGCTCAATTATTACACCACAATATATGCAGCTTACAAGAAAAAGCAGCCTCATGACCCAACAAACTACTATACAGACCAGGAGGTCGAATTTCACAGTAAGTCGTGCTCGAACAAAAAATATTTACATTTTTACTTGTGGATAACTAACTATATGTCGACACATTGATTCAAATTCTTTTTCTTAATTGTCTCAGCTAGTAAAAATGGAATTCCAATTGGCCCTCAGGTAAAATTTAGATTATGAGTGTCAGAGCTTCAACAATCTTTGATTAGTATCAGGAACTTATAATTGGTCTTACATAATTTGTTATATTATATGCATACAAACACATATTTTGATTCTTGCTTAATGTCTACAGGCAGGTTCAGATTGGTTGTACAATGTGCCTCGTGGAATATACGAACTTCTGACTTACGCAAAGAGACAATATAACGATCCTATCATTTTACATCACCGAGAATGGTAACAACCTAAATACCCTCTTATTATAATTACTAAAATCCAAAACAAAATAAAATATTAACGAAAAGAATTTTGATAAACAGAACTGTTCACAACATTAATTAATTAATTAATGCAGGGGTGGATGAAAAGAACAAGCAGCAGCTTGGTCCAGATAGCACTGAAAGTGAAGGGAAAAAAAGATAAAAGTACTGCAAATTTCCCTCCTTTTGAAGGACGACTACAGAATTAAGTACCATCAGCAACATCTTGCATACATTAAGCGTGCTATAGAGTAAGTATATACAATTGAGTACCATTTTTTTTTACTATGTAAAAGTGATTTAATACTAAATTTTCACCTGTAAACAGTGAAGATAAAGTGAATGTGAAGGGATATGCTGTGTGGTCAATATTTGACAATTACGAACGGGCCGCGGGCTGGTACATGAATTTCCTCAACAAAAAGAAGCTTCCGGGTCATTTCTGGAATCCAAGGAAGTTCACAAGGGTACAAAGGGCCTAGCTTTTATATTTGTCAAAAATCGACTGAAAAACATTTTCCTGGAAAATGGACAATTCGCGTACAACAGGTCAGTCACGTCTACAGATACATCTGTATCATTCCACAAATGTTATTTAAAGAAAAAAACCCAACTTGTATTACACAATCCCATTCCCATCCACTATAAAAGTTGAGATAAGAGAAAACAACAGCCACCAGCAAACATTATTGGATCAAAATCAAACACATATGGAAAGACAAACAAAGATAGTGAAGGGCTAGAATCTGTACCTAGAAAATGAGGTCCCAATACCTAGAACATGACAGTTTTCTCAAATAATTTACTGGNTCTGGGTAAAACTTGGTGGTTCAAAGAAAAGATCATATTGTTTCTAAGACAAGTTCTCATCCGCATCCCAAAGAAAGATAGTCATCACCAGACAATTGTACTATCAAATTACCAAGTACACATCAAAGCAAACCACTTTTTAAGTCCATATTCACATGCAAAGCAGACTGAATATCACTTCAAGATAATATTTTAACAAGCATAAAAAGCAAACCAAACAGCAGCATTAAGACAAAGCCAACAGTAAAAACCCATGATAACATAGATAGATAGATAATATTTCAATAAATGCCGCATTCCAATTAGTCCAACCAATCCAAGATCCTGACACAAAACATAAGATAGCTCTACATCACGAGATCTGCTCTCTTTCTATTTGAATCGTGACATGACTAATATTATACTCCCTCTTAATGTAATCAATTACCTTGTCGAGCACCATATCCGCATCTGCCTCGGGCTTAACCTTGACATGGCAAGCCAGCAACACTTTCCCGACAGTTATCGCCCAAATATGCAGCTCGTGAATGGCAACAACTTCCTCCATCTCACACAAACCCCTCTCGAGCATCGTGGCATCTATCTCCCTTGGTGTGCTCTCCATGAGAACTTCCAGAATGTTCCTCAGCATCCTAATTGTCGTGGCCAAGACAATAGCAGAAAAAACCAATGTGCAGATGAGATCGATTATCTTCCACTCGGGCTTGTACCATATCACGGCCCCACCAATCATAACTCCCACACTCTGTATCGAGTCTCCCAGAACATGGAGATAGGCCCCCTGCACGTTTATATTTCGGAGGGCCTTTTTCGTCTTTTTCGCTTCGCCTTCGCCCTCATGTGATGTACTGAGAAGAGGCTCGTTGAATCTCGATTCATATCGAGTGACGGTCACTCCATGGCCATGCGAGTGCTCGTCCTCAGAACCATGATCATGATGATGATGATGATGATCATGCGAATGGCCATGGCCATGATCATGTTCGAGGAGAAGGGCCATGACTATATTAACCAGCAAACCAAAAGATGAGACTAGAAACATAAGAAACCCCTGAACCTCACCCGTGTTTTGCACGAGCCGAACGATTGCTTCGTACACAAGAATACCCGTGAGAAGCCATATCAGCTGAATCGAGACGAGTGCTCCGAGTATTTCTATCCGGAAAAAACCATACGACTGGCGAGGGGTTGCCTCCCAACCCGCGGCCCACAGAGAAAACAGAGAGATAGCAAAGGAGGCCACATCAGAGAGCAAGTGAGCTGCGTCTGTGAGTATGGCCAAGCTATTGGCTTTGATGCCACCTGCAACTTCTACGCTCATAAATATCACGCAGAGGACAACTGCAACGAGGAGCTTTTTCATGGAGGCCGAGCGTTCTTTAGCATCCCTCGAGCTTGTTCTGGCATCTGAAAAGCCGCATGTTGCACCTTCACATACTTTGCTTCCTCCATACGAACGCTCAGTAGAAGTTATATCAGTGGACACCTCAATGATGTGTGCATGCTCTGAATGCTGTGCCTCCATCTAAAAATATGCAGTTGCGCGCCTATTGCCGAATTAGCTTAGTAGATCAGTCTGAAAGGAAGCATGTGAAACAAATTGGATAGACCACAGGTGGAATGTTAAGCTAGTGGATTTAAGAAAGATCAAAGTAAATATAAAGGTACTTAAAACGTGTAAAATTGCGGAAGATGGAACTGGATAGGTAGAAAAAGGTTTTTCATTTCTCAAGAAGTTTCAATTGAATACAACAAATTTTAAAAGTCTTAAAATGTCTATAAAATTTCAATTGAATACACCCTCTTAAATTTAACTGCCAAGAGTTATAACTTCCATTATCATCGCTGTTTATCCAACATAACAAGAAATAACTCAGAACAACAGACGCTCAAGATAATTAAATTCCGACAACTCTTACATAACGACTTATGCCATCCGGCAGCACTCAGTGAATTTCTAATTACCAAATCCATAAAATGAATGGCAGAATCCTCATAATCCATTTTTGTACCAATTATTAAAACTAAAGTCCACGAAAAATTCAGAATTAAAGAATTCATCGAGTTCCCAATACTAACCTAACAGTAAAAATACCAGTCCATACATAGATCTACAATCAAGTGCCCAAATTAAACCCAAATCAAGCGTTTCAAACCAGCAGATCATGGACACAAAACTCAATTCATCGTAACAAAACGAGAAAATCATAACTAAAAGAAAAAAACTAAGAAAATAAGTATACTTTTTCGAGCGGCGCGAGATAAAACGTACCGATGATGGATCTGAAAGTCGTAACGGGCAGAGCCGGTTCTGAACATTATTTGGCCCTGGGCCAAATACAAAAAATAGTGCCATAAGTATTTTACAAAAAACTAGAGTTTTATATGATATCAACAATGCCCCAATAATTATTTTGCTAAACATATTAATTTATATAATCTTCTATGTAAAGCAAAACTTCATCAAAATAGCTCACGATTAATCACGCATATAAAGGTTAATGACACACTTGCATCTCTTAATGGATAATACCTTGAGTGATGTTACAAAATGATAATGTCTCAATATAAATTTCTGGTACATCAAATAACAAATTGATCAACAAAAACCCATTTTAGCGGCAAATATAGTAGTAGAAAAATCAATTGCAAAGCTTCAATAGAATTTTTAGCGGAAGGATATCAATTGTATCACCATAATCAAAATGTCATGTAATATCCTTGTATTGCATATATTAATTAGTTGCTAAATTTGATATGGTTTACTTTTTTAAGTGGTTTTTATATGTCATAAGAATTATTTGTTTAATAGTTCAAACATGATGATGTGTTAACAAAAGATCATTAATAAGTAAAACTATAATTAAATTATTATCAAGATTATCTTAAATACATAAAATAATATAATTTTATATAGTATTAATTATTAATCATCTTTAGTTAATTTATCGTCATGTTTGAGCTATAAAACAAATAACTCTCACAACACATAACTAAAAAAATGGTAAAACATATAAAAATGAAAAATCAACCATTTACAAAATAAATATTTAAAATATATTTAAATTTTTTATCTAGCAACATTAAACCACAATGAAAGTAATTTTAAGAAGTGAATTAAATATAATATATAAATTAATTATAATGGCTAACAACAAATAATATAAATTTTTTAAGTAAGATAAATATGTATAAAGGGATAATGTAACTAGATGTAATTATAATTAAGTTCAAAGAGAGGGATAAATAAAGAAAAGAGAAAAGAATGCTGGTGGTTTTAGTGTGCGTGACAGAGTAATATGTTAAATAGAAAATAGAAAAAGTGAATGTGTGGGATAATGTGCGTGGAGAGAATATGAACAATAAATACTTGTTTGATAAGTCTCTACCTTATTTAATTAAGTAAACCAACTAAGCAAGAGTAACATGCATATAGGAAGAGTAGCGTATGGGCTGGTGCCCCTTCCACTGATTGGGCCCTGGGCCGTTGCCCAACCTGCCCTAGCCCAGGGCCGGCCCTGGTAACGGGCGAAATTAAGGTCTAGAAGTTACAGTGAGATGGAGATTTTCGCATACGAAGTTGACAAGAGAGTGTGCATCTGAGCAAAATTGGCAGTTGAGGGCGTGAAAAAAGGAGTTGTGTTGTTGCAGCAACCCTTTCAATTGTGGATTTTAACAGCATCTCCAATGGTACGTCAATTGTAGAATTGTAGAGGCATTAGAGCATCTCCAATGGTCTTTCCATTGCTGCCACATGGCATAAAAACTCTGATGTGGCTAGGAAAATGTCTAGAAGGCTTTCTAGATGTAGAAGTCCTTTTAAACAATTTCTATTATATATTGTATTATTTATTCAATTTATCTCTTTTCTCCAACCAATAACAATTTTACACATCACAAATGACACCACAATTAACACTAACCATTGGAGACAAAAAATTTTAATTCTCTTTCTCCATGTCATACATCACAATCTCCATTGGAGATGCTCTTAGGATAGAAAACGTCTAACGGTGAGTATTTTTACTTCTACATCTGATTATGTGGCATGAGAGAGACGCAAAACATTCAGAAGGCTTTCTACATCTGAAAAAGAACCTGAGGATGACGATTATGACTTGTCCAACGCCTACTCGAACAGGTTCTATACTCAAGCTGCTTTTGGTCGTTTTGAGGATTTTTCTTCTTATGGTTTTTGGGCTGACCATCCTCTTGGTGATGGGAAGTATGAGGAATTGGGGATTGTTAAGCTCATTGATGATGTCGGTTTGTCTAAGACTGTGTCTAACCTTAGTCCTTGTGGTCAAGCTGTGAGGGAGTTTTATGCCAATTTGACCCCTGCTTGTTTTACTCTTGATAGCCCTCGTTTTCACAAACTCTTTCTTAGGAATAGAGTTATTGATTTCTCTCATGAGCTTTTGAATGTGCATTTGGGCTTACCTGCTGATGTTCCGTCCTTGTCTGATGTTGATCTTGATGTTGTTACCCAAACCCTTTCTGATAAAAATCTTGATACCTGGCCTGGTTCAAATTTGCCTGTGAGTTCTCTCTGTCTTACCGCTAACATCCTCCACAAAATTGGTGCTGGTAATTGGATGCCTACCTCCAACAAGAATTTGCTCACTGAACTTCAGAGCAAAGATATCTATTGGATCATGGATGGTCAGGT